GTTCCTTATCAAGTACCAGTCCCTGCTGAACCACATTAGAAGCATTCCCTTTTAGGGATTTCCTATTGATAAATACATACTGAGACCTCTCAGTTAGACAGCTCTTATTTCATATATACACATTTTTTATTGTTAGTTTTAAATCAAAATGTCAAACAATACTAAGTCAGATGCCTTAAAAAAACCTAAGTTTATTATATCTGCATGGGTAGCTATTGACTGAACTGATAGTCTCATCAATAAATGGAATCAAGTTATTTGAAAATAATTACTTGTAATGTTGTATGTTCCTCCCTTCCCGCCATGGACTTTTTCCTCATCTCCTTTCTGGCAGTCTCTTCTCTCTTTCTTTCTTATTTACCTACATATCTCCAGTTTGATTGCCTCTGGCCATGGAAGAATCACTTTCTTTTCCCTTTACCTGATGGTTATGGGCCAGATGTCAACTAAGAAGCCAAAGTTATTTTTTTCTTCTTATCAAAACAATTCTCCAGATCACTGAGCTCTACTTCCAATGCCTTACAGCCATTTTCTCCAGGCATAAGTTTGTGAGAGATTCATCTTGGATAAAAGCCCACAGTAAATGGAATTTTCCAACTTTAAAATTTTTTTTATATAAGGTTCAGTGGTCATGCTAATCAAAAGTGATTAGTATTAAACAGTATGTGAGTGATCAAATAAATTCAACAATGAGAAAACTGACTGACCTAAGTAAGGGTACGATTCATTTTCAAAATATAGCAGTAAATGGTGATGCACATCCAGTTTCAAGACTAATGAGTAGGTAAATGATATCAATTATATCTTCTGCAACCAAGTATGTGAAAAATCAAAGTTCAATAACCTACCCAGTAAGGCTGCAATTGGTTAGCCTGAGAGATGAGAAGAAATCTTATCACTACAAAGGGCCAAATCTTTTGAATGTGTTAAGGTAAACAGAAAGGAAATGATGAAAAGTGAAGTAGTACTAGAACAATTTTAAGTTCACAGGAAAATCTTGCTTCACATGTTAAGTCAAATAGAAGTGTGTACATATTAGAATAAAGCAAAAGCAGTCAGTTATTGAAGCTGAAACATCTGCCAATTTAGCTAACCTAATATAAGAATACTGATTTTTCAGCTCCATGGTATGCATGTTGCATCAGCTAAGGGTATGGAAAAAAACATTCAACCACTTTAAACAGGGAAAAGGAGCTAGAGAAAAAGGAGTTAATGCTCAGAAGCATGCATCAGGTGCTATGCTGCAATCTGTATAATCTTGTAGCAATACAAATGAGTTAAATCATCCAAACTTTGAACCTGAATGTAGCAGTTTTGCTACATTTGTATTGCTACAAATTTATGCACATATAACAGTTGCATCATATAATTTTGTACTGGTATACTTTTATATCAATTGTTATATCTATCTATGCCCTTGCATTTTGAAAATTATTTATAGATACGCTAAGGCAGTGTCAAACTCCAGATCTGGACCACGGGGCTTCTTGGGGGATGGATCTGGTGGTGGCAATGGAACAGCTGTGGTGTAAGTCGGTGATTCTCAAGTTTTTTTTTTTTTATTAGGAGCCATTTGTAAACATTGATGGCCAGTCCTGACCCAGTAAAGAGTTTAAGTAGAAAACAGCCCCCTGGCCCTGCCATTGCCCCTCACTCCTGACCAGCTGCTCCCTACACCCAGGCCCCAACCACCCAGTAGGTAGGGCAGGGGGTGGGTGTGTGGGACAGGGGGTGGAGGCGGGGCATGAGCAGCCCCAAACAGCCCAGAACTCTGCCAGTCTGCAAGGGAAAACCCAGTTTCCCACATTTTTCTCCTTTAAAGGAGAATCCATTTTTAAAGTTTGTTTGTGACTCTTTCATATATTCTTGTGACCCACTTTTGGGGCATGATCCACGGGTTGAGAAACGCTAGTATAAGCTACATCAGGGAGCCATAAGGGGTTAGTGAACTCATTGCTTGGCCAGTCCCCAAATTCCCAGCCACTCTAACAGCCCTGCAGGCCAGAAAACACTCTTGTTTGGCACCCCTGGGCTAAGGGAATCAAACTGTTAGGAAGTCTGATTTTGGATAAAGGAGTCTAAGTTACACCAACAAAAGCTTCAGATCTGAAACATGCTTATTATTTCTTCATTATCTAAGTGTTAAAGTGAATACTGAATTACTGTGTTGAGAGGACACGCTATATGATTAAATCAAGTACTAAAAAAGGTCAACTGTAACACACTGTTGTTTTAAGAGAATGACAGGAATTTGGAACTGGAAGATAGATAAATACAGGCATACCTCGTTTTATTGCGCTTCACTTTATTGCACTTCGCAGATATTGCATTTTTTACAAATTGAAGGTTTGTGGCAATCCTGCATTGAGCAAGTCTATCGGAGCCATTTTTCCATCGGCGCCATTTTTCCAACAGCATTTGCTCACTTCGTGTCTCTGTGTCACATTTTGGTAATTCTCGCAATATTTCAAACTTTTTCTTTATTATTATATTTGTTACGGTGATCTGTGATCTTTGATGTTACTATTGTAATTGTTTTGGGGTGCCACAAACCGCGCTCACATAAGACGGCGAACTTAATCGATAAATGTTGTGTGTGTTCTGACTGCTCCACCGACCGGCCGTTCCCCTGTCTCTCTCCCTCTCCTCGGGCCTCCCTATTCCCTGAGACACAACAATATTGAAAGTAGGCCAATTAATAACCCTACAATGGCCTCTAAGTGTTCAAGTGAAAGGAAGAGTCGCACGTCTCTCACTTTAAATCAAAAGCTAGAAACGATTAAGCTTAGTGAGGAAGGCATGTTGAAAGCCGAGACAGGCCGAAAGCTAGGCCTCTTGCGCCAAACAGTTAGCCAAGTTGTGAATGTAAAGGAAAAGTTCTTGAAGGAAATCTGAAGGCTCAGATGATGGTTAGCATTTTTTTTAGCAATAAAGTATTTTTTAATTAAGGTATGTACATTGTTTTTTTTAGATGTAATGCTATTGCACACTTAATAGACTACAGTATAGTATAAACATAACTTTTATATGCACTGGGAAACCAAAAAATTCGTGTGACTCACTTTATTGCGATATTCACTTTATTATGGTGGTCTGGAACCAAACCCGCAATATCTCCGAGGTATGCCTGTACTAGTTTGGTGCAACAGATTATGAGGCAACAAACAAACTGGGCACATTAAAATTAACTCTATAGAATATAGAACCTTATCCCCAATAATCTGAAGAAATACTTAGAGAATTTAAGCACCATCAGTCTCTTTCTGATATAAACTCTTTTTAACTTGAGAGAAGCTCATCATACATACCCCCTATTATTATAAAAAACAAACTGTGCACCAAGTATTATATTTGCAGTTTTAATTATGCGTTTTGTAATGTAATATAAAACTATAAAAGCATTTTCTATGGTATGCATACATGGTAAAAAAAAACCAAAGTAAGGGCTGGCCCCAAAATGTGCCAAACCTGCAGCGCCCCCCACAAAGACAAAGTACTTTAAGAGGCACCACTATGTCATCACATGACCCCAAAGCACATTTGAGAAGCACCTAGTCTTGTTTCTCCCTGAAAAACCCTACTGTTCCAAAGCCCTACACCAACTGAGACGTGTCCTATCTTCTTCTTAACCCACCTTCTTAGGGCCTTGTTGCACATTAATTTTAAATGGCTCCTGGAACTCTTAATCCTTGGATTATCCACACATTATCACCTAAAACTAGTTTTAAGCATACTTTAGACAGCTTAAAGTTTCACCACTCCAGGACAGGCTCATCTCTGATCTGTTTTACCCAGCATCTGTTCCATTAATATGTGGTCACTTCCCACAGATGAGCCACCCAAGTTACAGTCCTCTAGCATGCCAGGATGTAGTGTCCCCTCCACTCCTGTTCTGTGTAGACAAATTTTCTACCCCCTGTATTCTACTGCCTACAGGGCAATTACAGCACCAACCCAGCTCCCCCTCCCACCCAGAGGTTGTGACCTTCTCACCCCTGTGCAAACAATCTACAGAGCACATGCCAGCTAGACAAGTTGCAAGGCATGGATAGCTCTGGGGTGGCTGACTTCCTTCAGGGGCTGACTGTTTTCATTTTACTTCACTTCCCCCATCCCCATTTTCTTGCCATTGCATTGCCCACCTGCATTCCATTAACTTTCTGCCTCCTGGCTTCATGTTCCTGCCTCCCCAACCCTGCTCTGCAACACCCCCCCACTTACAGGAGGGATAGAAGCCTGCCCTGGCTCACCAGCTGTCTATTTGCAACTTACAGCTATAGCTCCTAGTCCAGCCCCTGCTTGCCAGCCCTAGAGTGGCAAGTTAGAGGTGTGAAGGTGAGGGGACATGCAGAAAAGGTTTCTAGCCTTAAGGTGCGACTGCTCTAAACTCAAACTAGCAGCAGGGCCTTGCTAACTTAAAGTGCCAGTGTAACAAGGCCCTTACAGTAGTCCTGAAATAGACATATATAATATGTTTAAGGATTCAAATAGTATTTTTTTCAAAACAATTGCAATTTTAAAAGACGCATGACAAGAATTCTATATTGCCCTTGACTCGTATATTCCAAAAGGTTTTAAACTCATAACAATAATTGCTTTAGCAATGTTCATTAAAGCTAATTTGAATTACTGAAAGTGTAAACTTTTTTTAGAATCATCTTGTAAGACCTCGGACTGCAAGTACCATAAAACTATAGTACTTAATAATGTAGATTATTTGATACTAGTAAATGAGAGATTAAACTTTATTTGTAGTTTTAGAGGAAAATGTAACTCAAATGGGGGGAAACAATGTTGAGAGGTTTAAAAAAACTGACCTTTTTTCTAAAGCTAAGTTGTCCATATATAATAGCTTGCTGCTTGATTTGTCTTGAACAGTTCCTGACAAAAACATTAAAATTTCCTAAAATCTTGATAGTGCACTAAAAACAATTAAATACCTACATCTCCTACTGATATATAAAATTATCCTTTCCATGTACAATAGAAACTTCACATACCATTGACACATTCAAAGACATCACAGCACTTGCCAGGTGTTCCATCTCCACGTGAGACTATTTGGGGAATGGAGCCTGCCTCGCACATGGGGAAACCACATAAACCAGAGAGACACTCGCATCTGAAACCAAAGAAAAGGAGGGGAAAACCCCATAAATAAATTAAGCCACATATGAGGGGAAAGCACAGGCAAGGTGAAATAGCAGACTGGGCCAAAAGAGTCCTTGTTGTATGAATATTATAGAATTACTTTTTACTAACACAGTAAATACAAGTTAAAAAAAATCAACTGTTTGGTGAATAACTCTCTGAACTCTTCTGCTGTAGGATTAAGTGCTAAATGGTCATGCAAACATAGAGGGACAGATGGAAATATTCCGATCTGCTATACCAACAACATTTTTGAGCAATAAACACTTAGGGACGGGTTCAGAAAGCAGCATGCACAAAAAGATCTCTAGTTTGTGGGAGACTTCCCCACAAAGTTGTTTAAGAACTGCCTAAATTAGTAAAAACTGACAGCAGCGTCCACAGCTAGAATACTGTCTCACTTCTTTATCCCCAAATTGGTCTGAATTTAGGGGTGCACGAATACAGATTTTTGGGGCTCATAGCCAATTTTTAAGGAGGCATATCAGCCGATACTGATCAGATTTCCAATATGCAGCCTGGCAGCTTGAAGAGTAGTGTCTGGCTGGTAAGCCTCTTGTGGTGGAAGGGGCAGGGCAAGGCAGGGAAGCAGATCAAGGCCACTGCAGTGAGGGAGGGAGTTTGGCTGGGGCAGGCGCTGCCCAGCTGGAGCAGGGCGGGGCATGGGACAGAGCTGCAACTCATCCAGGGGTTGCAGGGGGGAAGCAGCTCCCACTTCTGCATACACTCTGGGAGGGCATAGGGGGCATGTGCCCCCAGCTCTGCACACAGGACAGGGCAGACTGCCACTCTGGGCTGGGACCGTGGCTGCAGCAGGCTCTTTCTGGTGGTGTGGAGATGAGGGGCTGGGCTGGGCTGCACTCAGGAGAGGCAATGGCAGCACTGGGAGGGGGTGCTATGTGGGGGCTGCAGCCACCCCAAAATTTGCCACAGCACCCCCCACACACACCCTATAGCGCCACCGCCACCCATCCTGAGTGCAGCCTGGCCCACCCCACCAGGAAGAGTCCATTCCAGCCCCAGGCCACAGCAGCAGCCTGCCCTCATCCTATGCACAGATCTGGGTGCACAGGGTCCCATGCCCTCCTGGGCTGTATGTAGTGGCAGGAGCTGCCTCACCCTTCCCACACCCCCTGAACAAGCCACAGCTCTGTCCCATGCTCTGCCATGGCTGGGATGTGCAGTGCCTGCACCAGCCCCACTCCCTCCCTCATCGTGGGGGCCTCGATCTGCCCCCCCCCACACCCCTTCTCTCTTCCACCACAGACTTACCAGATGGAAGCAGCTCTCCAGGCTGCTGGGCTGTGCTCCTCACTGCCTATTGTGCAGCACTGTGGCTGCATGGAAGCACTGGGCATTTTCAGCCAAATTATTGGCCACATCAGGCAGAAAAAAAAACAATTTCCAATACAGTCAATTTACTTTATAGCAGTGCTGATCCAATATCAGACCAATGCAGCAGTGCACCTCTATCTGAATTGAGCTATATAGGGAGACAGAAAGAAAAATAATAAAATATTCTACTGCTTTGACATCTTGGGCAGTCATTTACACCCAAGCAAAATATGTATAAAACTACCATTTTGAGTTGGTAGTGCTTGACATCCATTTTCCATTGGTGATTATATACATTGCAAGGCGACAGAGAACTGGACTTTAATGGCCAGATCCTATTCCACCTAACAGACGTCTAAATGGCACTTTGCTGTTTAAGTGCAATCCTATTCTATCTAACCTGAGTCCATGAAAAACCACAGAAACAAAATGGTGGGTGCAGCCTCAGCACTTCCTATGACATAGTTTTAAGGCACAGAGAATATATATTACCCAAAGCCATGTTAACAGTTTTTTCAGGAATTTGAAGAGGGTAGAATATGATCACTAACATTAGCAGAAGCTTTTTCACAATATGAAAATTTTTCAGAACAGTCTCTAGAACCAGAAAGTACAGCTCAGATAAAAGGAAGTCATATGTGTTCCTCCCAATTTTCTTGCTCTTAAAAATGAACCAGCCAAACAAACCAACCAATGACCAGAGGAAGGGGAGGTCTCTGTTTGAAACTTATGAAGTATAGAGACATTATTATTGATGTTTCTAGACCACTATCAACATCTATTAAGCTGGACAGAAGTTTACATTTAGCAGTTCCTGGTCTTAAGAGATGACATAGTAAAGGAATAAGCAGCCACAATACAATACAAGACAAAATGAACAAGGAAAGCTCAGTGCTTATTACAGCTAAACAGATTCATGGAACAGGTACACAATTTTTCCTTAGTGTGTAGATTTAAGTTCTTTGAAAAATTTGGGAATTCACTTACCACCCTGGGAATGAATATGAATTTTAAAAAAATAAATAGGAACCATATTTTATTATTTATTTTATTTTTATTATTTAAAGTAAATGAGTACTAAATATCTAGCTATGTTTACTATATGCTTCAAAAGAGGCATTATCATGAGCACCCCAAATCAACCTATCTAGACAGAATCATTAGGCCCAGAGAGATTCTCAGACTCTTTTGGTCAGTAAGCTTCCACAAGGAAAAGGAAGACGGCTTTCCTACTACCCCTTATCTCTCATTATCCCTGACAGATACCATACCCAACATCAGGATGCAATAAAAGATTAGAAAAACTAATCCTAGCAGATAGGTATTTAAAAGTTATCCCTTTCATCCCTTCCCCTGCTTTAGTGATTTTTGTTAAGGTCTCCACTGGAGAACACATCTCTCAACTACAACTAACAAGAACAGTGCAGTGAAGGTGAGCCATCTCCAATGATTTTAAAAAATATTGTGTACTACCATACAGCATATAATGCCACAAAAATCTATATCTGTTATTGAAAGGCAAAGAAATTCTTGCAGAAAGCTACATAAATATTACATTTAAGAAGTTAAATCTACAGACAGTTAAATATGCAGAAATAAAGATGAATGATCAAATGCTGTATGCACCCATTAGCATATTTTATTATGATTTATTTAATGATACAATATAAATTGTAAGAATATTGTTTGGTTTTACACATGGTATGGACAAATATTGAGCACAGAATAAAAGAGCCGTGGGCTATGGTAACGAGCAAAGAACTGGAAGATGAAAGACCTTGATTTTATTCACCACTGACTGACTGCACTAACTCTAGAAGGTCAGTTAGCTTCTCACTGTCTCAGTTTTTTATTTGTAAATACAGGTAAGGGGAAATTACTCACCAGTAATTCTCTTTGTTGTAGTCCTTTCCTCTGACACTACAGAAAGACAGTAGGGACAATTGGCATTATGGCTCCCCCTACCTAGAAGCAAGAGAGCAAAGGATGTATGATAGCGAGCTCCCTATAAACGGTCCAAGTCAGTCCCTCCCCTCTTTCAATTAAATACAGAAAATGAAGGTAGAAAATATATAAAGAATAGAAATGCCAAGATAACACTCAGGAGGGCAGACTGGGAAAGGAGAGGACTTTGACAAAGAGAATTACCAGGGACTAATTTTCCCTTGTTCCTCTTCTCCCATCCTATGGAAAGACAGCAAGGACAAGTTGCAGATGTAACAAGCAGCTCCCCTTTGGGTAGGCTTATCATAACTTGCTACTTTAACATCTTTAGCCAAAGGAGACACTCTTAGCAGGAAGAAGGTCCAGCTCGTAGTTTTTAAGTACAGTGTATGGGCAGTTTTACATATTTTACAATAGATTTCTTAGCCTTTACGCTCCAGGAAATAGAGATATTTCCAGAGGAATTAGTTCTGACAATCAGGGGACAAGTCTTGTTCGGTCATAACATAGGTTAGACAAGTATGCTCCTGAATCCATCTAGCAAGGAGAGCCTTGGGGTAGCAATAAAAACAGAAAATAACATTTTCTCAATGTCAAGAAAAAAAAGCAAATAAAAATTCAAAACACTTTATTTGCAAAGAACTGGCTGTTTGTCTAGAGAGATGACTGGATTAGGATAGGGATAGAAATATATTGCTCATTGATCTGAAATTCTATATTCACTTTAGGACTAGACTCTGGAAGACAGTATAGCTTTAACCCCATCCAGAGAAACCTGCAAAACAAGAGAAAAAGAAAGCTAGGGAGCCTGGTTTCCCAGTCTCCTGGCCTAAAAGTTGCTGCCGTTAGTATACACTTCAGAGTAAGCAGCTTCATAGAGAGAGATGTCTAGTTTATTCTATGTATGTTTTGGCCCATCCAGTATAACAGACGTGTGCCACTCATAACGGTTTAATATATTGTTGGAACATAACAATATATTAACAGAATATTAAACTGTTATGAGTGGCATCCTCTTCCTCATCAATTGTTCAAAGAGTAGGCCCATAAACACCTGAAGAACAAGGAAGAGATTTCACTAAGGAGTAACTAGTTAAAGTAAGGTGATTTGCCATAATAAAAAAAATATAAAAAACATTTAAAATATGGGAAAAGAAATTAATGGTTCTGCATCGAGTGGGTCCACAGACTGCAGAACAAGTAGTTATTTATAGCTGGAGCATGCTGATCCTTAATTTCTGAAATTCCATATTTCTTTTTAAGCAAAAGGAAAAAAAATATGCAAACCTACTGCTATTGGCATGAAATGAATTTGCTATATAGGAGTGTTAATGTGTAAAGGTTTAAAACAGACTTTTAAACAATCTTCAATCTCCCCAGATAGGCCTGCTGAGAAAGTTATCTAAGCACATTCCATAATGTTAGCAATGAAAAAGGGTGTGTTAAGAGTGAAAAGAAACCTTAGGAAATCTTGGGGTGACAGACAGCTGTCTCACTGCCAGGACCACAATGGTTGGAAACCCTGGGATAAAGAGAGAACCAAAAGAGACAGCAAACTTACCACTGTTTTATCTTGATGGATTTTTTAAGTGCTCTTAGGAGAAGAAGAATAAGTGAAAGTGATATCCCCATTTTGCACTCTAGTGTTACATAGCTTTAGCTGTGCAGAAGCCTATTCTTCCTTGGCTTATT